TGAGCAACTAGTCACGGTCATGCCCATATGTGCTCACTCGAGCATGCATAAGGCCACACGCCACATACATGCTTATGCGCAGACATATGCTCACACACCATGCTCAGTCATATGCACAGGACATGTGTCCTCGCTCACACAGGACGTGTCACCCACACAGGACATGTGTCTCACACACACACACAGGACGTGTCACACCCCACACACAGGACGTGTCCTCACACACCACCCTGGGGACAGTGTCCTCACACACAGGACGTGTCCTCGCACCCACACACAGGACACGTGTCACACCCACACAGAGGATGTGTGTCACTCACACCTACACACACAGGACGTGTCCTCGCACCCACACACAGGACACGTGTCACACCCACACAGAGGATGTGTGTCACTCACACCTACACACGCTCCCATTCATGGCTGCAGCTCCATCCTCACACCTAGCCCAGAACTTCCTTCTCTTTCCCTCTTCAGCATTAGAGCTGCCCTGTAGGGTGGTGGGTGGGAAGCCCTGTGACGCCTTAGAGTCCCCAGGCATCTCCGGGCTGGGAGCCCCATCCAGGGGGTGTGCAGGGCAGCGACCTTACCACCTGCCCATGCCTCCCCGGTGCTCAGGGGCAGAGACCTACCCTGGATTCTGTCGTTACCATCTCAGATGCAGGCCTTGGGACTGCTCGGTGTCCTCAACAGAAGGGGCAGGAGTCCCTGATCCTCGGCTTCATCCCCGTTCCCTGGAGGGCTCTGCTGGTGCGTGGTGAGGGGACGTGGGCCTGCCCTCTGGTGCAGGGGGAGCACAGGCCATGAGGCACAGAGGTGGTGCCAGTCACCAGTGTCCGGAGTGATCCTTAGTGGCAGCCAGAGTTCCTCCTTCTGGAAGATTCTGGGTGCACTGCCCCTACTTCAGCGATCATCTTTGGAGAGCTGGGCTGGTGGGCGAGGAAGGATAGGATGGCTTGATCCGCCTGGTGGTCACCCCAACTTCCCATAAGATGGCTGGGTTATTCAAGGGACAGGAAGAAAAGTTGCCAAGGGCTCTGGCCAAGCGGCAGCTCCAGAGAAGTAGCTCAAGGTCTTCACCTGCAGGAACTGAGCCCCTGGAGGGGAATCCAGTCCCCTTTCCACAGTTAACCCGATTCCAGGAATGAGCTGCAGCCACTGCAAGAGGTGTTTGCTTGTGGTTCAGTTCAGTGTGAGAAAGTGGGGGTTGTTAAAGAGGCTACAGTCATGGACATGCCGCCATGCACTCCCCAAACCTGCCATCCTGTGCCAGTGGCACCCCAGATGCCTCTAAGGGCCCTCCCAACCTTTGGTCTAGGAATTTGAGGTAGACCCGCCCAATTTCACCCCAAAGTAGACGCCTGGGAAGCTGGGCAGCCGGCAAATGGCCACGGTCCTCACTGCCAGTTCCCATTCTTTGAATGAGGGAGAGGTGTGGCCCTTGACGGCTTTGGAGGCCGGGCTGCTGCATTGTCAGGTGGCTGTGCATCGTCAGGTGGCTGTGCATCGTCAGGTGGCTGTGCGCCGTCGGAGTGGCTGTGCATTGTCAGGTGGCTGTGCATTGTCAGGTGGCTGTGCATTGTCAGGTGGCTGTGCATTGTCAGGTGGCTGTGCCGTGTCAGGTGGCTGTGCATCGTCAGGTGGCTGTGCATTGTCAGGTGGCTGTGCATTGTCAGCACATGCTGCAGTGGGGAGGGGATGTGGACGGCATGGGGCGTCTACCAGGAGCATCTGCTCTCGGTTTGGAGCGCTGCTTTGTGCATCTTTGTTTTGGGGCCTCCTGGTGTTTTTCCACCCCTTGGGATGGAGCAATGCCTTGTGCAGCCCTCCTCCTCCATCCCCTTGTGCCCTCCCTTTCCCCAAGGAGCATCCACAGGTCCCTCTCACACCCGGCTGGCCTGGACATGCGGTGGTTTGTTCATTCATTCACTCCTTCATCAACAAGCTTGCTGGCGCACCTGCGTGTCGGAGCTGGGTGGGTGACGGTGATCAAGATGGAGTTCAGGGCTGCTCTCAGGGAGCCCGGGGCCTGGCGTGGGAAGTGAGTTGTCACCGCAACTGAATGCCTAATCATGGTTGAGAGGCACTAAAGGGGGCAAGAGCGGGGCTCTGTGGGCCCTGATTTGGAGATGGGGCTTAGGGAGCCTCCCTGTGGAAGTGACATTTGGGGAAGAGAAGAGTTGTTCATGCAGAGAGCAGCTTGTTCATGGGAGAACCCCAAGCAGGGAGAGCTGAGTCTAGGGGGAGGCCAGCAGTTGGACGGGGGTCGGATAGGGAGGATCTGGGGACCGTGGGTTTTGTGCCGAGTCAATGGAAAGCAAGTGAAGGGTTTTGCAACCGGGGAACCAAGATCTGAGTTATATTCTAAAAAGTCACTACGGCAGTGGGGTAGAGAATGGAAACTGAGTGAGCAGGAGAAGCTGGGGCCAGCTAAGAGGCATCTGTGGAGGGCAGGAGATGACGGTGGCCTTGGTGTCATGGTGGAGACGAGGTGGAGAGATGTGGGTGTGTTCAAGGTACCCTGAGGGTGGACCCAACTGGACTGGCTTTGAACGGGATGTGGGTGAATGATCCAGTGTGTAAGGTGCTATCTCCCAGACCCCTGGTCTGAGCCGCTAGGTGAGCTGCTAGAAGGATTCGCTGTGTACTCATCCGAGTGACTGGCCCAGGGTCCAGGGAGCATCTTGTGGCCGTGCCCTTCCAGCCTGGGACAGACGTTAATCATTGGTCTCTGTGTCCTTTTTCTAGCCCAGGATGGAGACTAATGATTAATGTCTGTCCTGGACACTGAAGAGAGGGCAGCGGCTGCCCCGGGCCTGGTGCCCTGCTGGGTACACATGTGGTAGGGTCCGTGTGCGCCCCTTTCCGTCAACAGAGAGTCAGCTCTGCCTGCCTTGAGAGATGGTGTCTTCATCCAGGGCAGCGGGGACTCTGGATCTGGCTGGGATTTTCAGAAGCACACTCCTTTTCCCCTTTGTTTCAGATTTAGGCAGATGCTTCCTGGGAGAGCAGGGAGGGAGGGAAGGGTGTGGAGTTTAGAGGAGGGTCACAGGGTGGTGGGCATGGGCTCCAGGAGAGGGGCCCTGAGAACAGGAGGGTGGGGCCCAGCCGGTGGGAAACAGGGTGGGAAGGAGGAGGCAGTGAGTGGCTGCTTTTCCCCGGGCTCAGAGATCCGGGCAGGTCCTGCCTTCCATCCTTCAGCAGAGCCCGGGGAGGGCAGCGTCCTAGGGGTAGACTCCGGGCCGGCACCTGCTCCCCACCCAAGGGTGACTGGTCTTGGCTCTTTGGGGCTGGAGGTCTTCAGGATGAGGAAAACCGGAACCTGCATGGTGGGAACTGAACACAGCTGGTTTGCTCTTGCAGCTGCGCATGTCAGCCGGCTTCAGGCCTCACACCTGGGACGCGGATGTTTCCTGTTGCTGGGCCCCAGGCTGGTCCCCTGTCCCTGGGGAATTTCCTGGGCTGCTTCCAGGGTCATGGCAACTTCCATCCGGCTTCCCTGCAGGCCCCCGGCCCCCACCCTGTCGAGTTCGGACACATCTTCCGGCTGCACGTGTTTGGCTGGAGGGAAGAGGCTGGTGGGGCCTGGATGTGGCCAGATGCGTGTGAGGGCCCAGGCGGGGAGGGGATGCCCCCATGCCCGGGGCAGCAGTGGTGGCCATGATTGCAGGAGGCGTGGGAGGAAGAAGCTTTCACAGGGACCCGTGTTTCTCTGTGCCAGCCCAAACCCAGGCCCGGTCGTCCTGATCCCAAGTCCAGGTTTGGGTGCTGGCCTTGGGCACATCTGTAAATGGGACGGCCACACAGGCCCTGAAGCCCAAGCCAGTCATGGCTCACTCTGTGGTCCAGGCCAGGTAATGAAGTCTCTGAGCCTTGGTTTCCCCACCGGGCACAGCCCCTGGTCCGGGGCTGCTTAGATGATGAGTGGCCAACTGTCCTCCTTCCTCTCAGCTGACCCAGCCCATGCCTGGGAATCCTGGGAGCCCTGGCGCAGCCACCACAGGGCCCACCTGGCTAGAGCTTCCCTCCCGACTCCTGGCAGGGGTGCCATGAGTGACACACAAACTCACTGAGCCCACAGGTCGCACAGGCTCTGGGTGGGGCAGGGAGTCCCAGGTCACTGCCCTGACCATGCAGTCACCCAGTGAGCACCCCTCAGGAGTGAGCGCAGCCCACGCACCTTGGTCCTGCCCTCCCAAGTAGTAACGTGAAGGGTAGGGGTTGCCCAGTGAAGGAACTTGGTACTGGAGTCCCCGGGGGGCACCTGGTCCAGCCTGGAGGGCACCTGCTGTGGAGGGGGCAGTGAGGCAGTGTGGGGCTGCCAGTAACGGGGCTGCCTGCCAAGCCGCACGGCACCCCCCTCTCTCCAGAGCCCCCGCCTGGCCTCTCAGGTCCAGCTGTGGCCTCCTCCACCCTCACACCCTGGCCTTGCTTTCCCCAGGGAGCCCCAGGGCAGCTGCTGTCAACACTTGGCTCCCCACCTGCCAGGACCTTACCTCGTCCCCTCCCTGGGGTCTGACTGGCCTGGGCCGGGGCCACCCCTCCCTGGGAATAGGGCCAACCTAGTAGATTCTACCATCAGGGCCTTGAGGGGGTTCCTCAGCTGGCCCTTGTAGCTGTGCAGTGCTGACCACTGGGCAGCCCACGCCTCCCCACTGCACCGCCACCTTCCCTCCTCCCAGCCCTCCCCAGCCCCCACTCCCTGCGCACCTTCCCCAGGAAATGCCCTTGGCTCCTCCCCATCTAGGTGAAGTGAGTTAGGGCTTTACTGCACTCTAGAGGGGTTCCGCCTAACCCCAACTGCATGCAGCCATGGCTGGGGGTTGGGGGACACTGCAGCCACCATTGGTGGCTGGGCAATGTGTGACCCAGGACAGAGAGAACAGGGCTGGGGACCTAGCAGGCTGGGTGGGCTGCCTGCCCGAGAGACCCTGAGGCCTCACCTCCCCCTGCCTCGCCCCTCCTTGCCCGTCTCACTGATTTGCTCCTTCCCTCCGCAGCTGAATGCAGTGCTGGCTTCTGTTTTCACGGTGGCCATTGTGCGCCAGGCTCAGCCCAGCCGTGCCAGTGTCCCTCCGGCTTCCAGGGACCCCGCTGTCAGTATGGTGAGTGGAGCCCCTGGGGCACCAAGGCCCTGGTCATGGCCAGCCTGTGGGCGAGGGGCGGAGATGTGTCGGCCACTGGCTGTCCCCAGCACAGCTGTGTAGGGCACACCCTGAGTGAACGGGCATTCTTCTGAGGACGTTCCACAATCCCTCCACCAGTTCCCTGCAGCCCCTCTGAGGGTGTTGAGGGGAGGGGTGACCCCGAGAGAGCCCCCTCAGTGGATGGTGCTGGAGCATATCATCTTGGCGCCCACCGCACCAGCCCTGCTGTTTATAAAAGGGGACGCTGGCCCCCTGGAAAGGCACAGGGTGGCCAGGTCCCAGGGTCTCCAGCTGTGCTGCCACCTTGCCGAACTGTGGTTGTCCTCAGTGTTAAAAGATGGGGGACACCCGGGGGTCCTAGCCGAGGCGACTGGTTGAGTAACCACAGCACAGCCTAGACAGGATTCCCTCACAGGCCCCAAAGACCAGGCTGAAGCAGAGCTGGCAGTGGGGAGATGCTTGCAGGGACTGGGGATGGGCTGAAAGCAAGCCATCGGGGTGACGGGATTTCTGTGAAGAAAAGTGCGTGCCAATGCGGGGGAAAGTGGCAAAGCCTCGTCCCGATTCCTTTGGGCCATAGGAAGCGGGAGTCTTCCCTTCCTCTGGGGTTTCCTGCTCTGTCCCGGGTTTCTTCATCCTAGCCTCACGCAGCCTAAGCCACAGCCGTCCCGATGGCATGAAACACTCCCGGTGGCCCTGGGGCTTTGAGACTGCTTCTGTGGTGGCCACCGGGGCTCCATGCCAGGCAGATGCCAGGGCAGAGTGAGAGATATGCTCCGGCGCCCAGGCAGACAGCAGGGGGAGACTCGAGGAAATCAGAGGAATCAGGAGGTCCCCACGTTTGTGAAGGGCACCCCTGCCCACTCCACGTTCCGCTGGGGGCCGGGCTGAGGAGGGGTTCTCGAGAGGTGCTGGGTCTCCCCAGAGTTCGGAGCTGGGTGCCAGCAGCCTGGGGCATTGGTCATTGTTGGAAAGGTGGACGGTTGGTGCTGGAGGGTTTATTGAATGTCCTCTGTTAGCTGGGACAGCCCCTGCCGAGTCACCGCGAGTGCCTGCTGCTTCCTGGATGTTCCTGGATGCCAGGTGGCTGGGAGGGCAGCTGCCCTGGCCATGGACTGAGATCCGGCTGTCTCGTTTGGACGAAAGGGCCCCCCCGGGTCCCCTGCCCTGTCACTGCCCTGCCACATCCAGGCTGCAGGCCTTGGCCAGGCCTCCCTGTGGTCAGAGGTGACCCGTCCCAGCTCCGAGGGCAGATGGGGGTCCACACAGGATGGAGTGGGCTCTGACTGTCACGTTTGGGCTCTTGGGAACTGTAATTATGGCCACAGGTAGGAGTTGAGAAACGCCCCGAGGGGCTCCTTTCCGTCTCATTTGTCTAATCTTTTGGCGTGTGCGCCGCTTCATTTCGGTTTCACACGGAAATACCAGGGCTGACTGGGCTGGCTGGGGAGGTTTCCGGGACAGGGCTGTGGCTCACGGGTCAGCCAAGCAGAGCCTCCAGTGGTCTCTGTTCCTAGGGGAGGGCAAGGAGGAGGTGGCCTTGGGGGGTGCCTTTCCTGGTCGTGTCCTCTGGGAGGGGATGGAGGACACCTGACCTGCCCCCTCAGGGCTGGCCTCCTGCCCACCGTCAGTCACCTCCTCCCACCTCATCTTTGTCAGGAGCCTGCTCGGAGCCCCCTGCTCCGTGAGACCCTGACACGCGGCCCGCGGGGCACCAGCAGGCACAGGGTTTGTAGGAGGCTCACTGGGGGCTGCACACTCCATGGGGGAACTCGGTGTCTTGTGGGGGCAGGGTGCACGCAGGTGCCCTGTGCCCCACCGGCCTCTTGGCTCTGACTTCTGCGTCACAGACTCTCACGGCGCCTGGGCTCCAGGCTCAGCCTCCAGAGCAGCAGCCCCATGTGCCGGTCACCGTGGGAATGCACTGCAGAGCGGGGAGGCTGGAGGCCGGGAGCTCCCTCCTGGCTCCGAGCCACTCTCTTCCTGTGTCACCTCATCAACTCCACACTTCATTTGCTTCCTGAACGAGGAAACCAAGGTTGGGGAGACCCAGCAGCTGCTGGTGCTCAGCTCGCAAGTGGCCTCGCTGGGGCTGAACCCAGGTCTGTCTGAGGGAGTGCCATGTACTCCCTTCTGGCCATGCTGCCACCTGGTGCAGGGACAAGCCTTGGTCCTGGGGGAGCTGCTGAGATTTGCTTTGGAGAAGAGGGGAGCAGGGTCCCCGGCAGGGCAGGAGCGTCCCTACCTGTGGCTGGCTTGTGGCCCTTGGGTAGTGGGCCTCCTGGGAGAGTGGCCAGTTAGGGCAGACGTGGCCTTCACAGGGGGCAGTTGACAAGCTGGAGGGTGGCTTCCTGGCCTCCTCCCTGGTCACTCTCTCTGGCAGGAAGGGGAGGGTGTGGAGGCTGGGCGTGCAGAGCCGAGGGCACAGGGCTGGATCATGCAGGCCTGGGCATCAGGATGGAGTGCGTAGAGCTGGGTGTGCAGGGCCAAGCCTGCAGGGTTGAATTGTACAGGGCCAGGTGTGCAGGGGTGGAGTGTGCAGGGCTGGGCATGCAGGGTGGAGTGTGCAGGGCTGAGTGTGTAGGCCGGATGTGCAGGGCCAGGTGTGCAGGACCAGGTGTGAGGGGGTGCTGCCTGCAGGTGTAGCCCCTGCCCTTAGCGCTCCCACCTAGACCTCTCACCGTCACCTTCCTGTCCCTGCTCCGCTCTGGGTCTGGACACTGTAGACCTGAGCTCAAACACAGTTGGGAATATTTAACTAACCCCCCAATTATAATTGATTCCAGTTTTGAAAATAAAAGCCATATTTTCTGGTTCCCCCAAATTATTTCATTTGAACAACAGAGTCGGGGAGGAAGACAGGAACTCTCTGGGCAGCTACGGAGGGCAGTTGTGGGAAGGAGCCCTCCCCGCTCCCCACAGCCCCAGCTCTCCCTCCTTGGCCCAGACGGGGTCAAGTCTTGGGTGTACAGCAGGCGGGTGCTTTGCAGCAGTTTCCCTGAGGCCCTGAGAGCCTTTCCACAGAAGCAGTGGGAGCTGTGGGAGCACAAAGCGGGCCTGTCTGCCCCGAAGGTGGAGGGCCTGGCCTGGGGCAGGGCCTGCAGTGAAATCTTCCCTGGCCCAGTGCAGGCCTCGGTGCCGTCAGAGTCAGGGCCAGCTGCTCATTTTGTCCAGGGCTGGCTTTGGTATTCCCCAGGCCTGTGCCTGTGTGACCACTCCACCTCTCGGACCACGGTCCCCCTTCTGTTCAGCAGGGAGGAGATTTGGCAGTGTTTTGTGCAGGTTGCGTGAGTCCACGTAGGTGAGGCCCAGAGTGGGCCTGGCAGAAGGGTTGGGAAGTGGGGGTCGTGGCAGGGACAACCATTGTGATGGCTCAGGTGCAGACTTTGTCCCCAGCTGGTATGGTTCGGCTGTGTCCCCACCCAAATCTCACCTTGTATCTCCCATAATTACCCGTGTCATTGGATTTGGCTGTGTCCCCATCCAAATCTCACCTTGTATCTCCCATAATTGCCACGTGTCATTGGTTCGGCTGTGTCACACCCAAATCTCACCTTGTATCTCCCATAATTGCCACATGTCATTGGTTTTGGCTGTGTCCCCACCCAAATCTCACCTTATCTCCCATAATTGCACGTGTCATTGGTTTGGCTGTGTCCCCACCCAAATCTCACCTTGTATCTCCCATAATTGCCACGTGTCGTGGGAGGAACCCGTGGGTGGTGTGAATGTCCCCACCCAAATCTCACCTTGTATCTCCCATAATTGCCACGTGTCGTGGGAGGAACCCCGTGGGTGGTGGTTGAATCACGGAGGCAGGTCTTTCCCGTGCTGTTTTTGTGATAGTGAGTAAGTCTCGTGAGATCTGATGGTTTTATAAGGGGGAGTTTCCCTGCACAAGCTCTCTCTCTCGGCCTGCTGCCATCCATGCAAGACGTGACGTACTCCTCCTTGACTTCTGCCGTGATTGTGAGGCCTCCCCAGCCACGTGGAACCGTGCGTCCATTAAACCTCTTTCTTCTGTGAATTGCCCAGTCTTGGGCGTGTCTTTACCAGCAGTTGGACAACGAACTAACACCCTGGCTCTTGGGTTAACTACACACTGAGCACCCAGCTGCCATGTGGAGTCTCCCGGAGTGGTCCAGGGTTCGGAAGACCCCCCAGGACTGCCAGTATCCTTGCCCTGTGGGTCTGCAAAGGAGGGAGGGAGACTCTAGAGACCCCCTTCCCTGTCCCTGGGAGGGCTTTGGGGTCCCATCAGAGCATCAGTTTCATCAGACCAACCAGGAACAATTTTCACAGCCAAAAACCCGGCCTCGTCCTGCCTTTGCACCCGGGTCCCACCTGTGTGTGCTGCTCTGGCAAGCGTGGGTGGACGCCCCCACCCCTTCCCCAACACCCACTGGTGACCTGGGCTTGGCACAGAATCTGTAATGAAAAGACCGGCAAGAAGAAGTTACTGAGGACAAATGACCTCCTAATAGATGTCTTTTGTACCACACAAGGTGACAGAAATCTCTACAAATCTACTAATCGCTTGATCTGGTCTCAGCTGACCTCGTGGGACAAGGGCAGGCTCTGAGAAATGAGGCCTGGGTCACCTCTGGGTACTTTCTTGGCTCAAGAACCTTTGGCTCAGGCCAGGCATGGTGGCTCACACCTGTAATCCCAGCACTTTGGGAGGCTGAGGCAGGCATGTCACTTGAGCCCAGGAGTTCAAGACCAGCCTGAGCAACGTGGTGAAACCCCGTCTCTACCAAAAATACAAAAATTAGCCAGGCGTGGTGGTGGGCGCCTCTAATCCCAGATACTCAGGAGGCTGAGGCAGGAGGATTGATTGAACCTGGGAGGTGGAGGTCGCAGTGAGCCAAGATTGTGCCCGATTGCGCCACTGGACTCCAGCGTAGGCAACAGAGCGAGACCCTGTCTCAATCAATCAATCAATCAGTTGATCAATC